TATGTTATTGAATTATCTAAATTCTTGACTATTTAGTTTGTCATTTTAGTGTAACAAGCAGCTAGATTCATGGGAATGTGGCTTCTATGTCATGTCTTGGATAAGACCATCATTCGAGCTGTCATTACAGATGACTGGAATGGGTTAGTGATGCATACCTTCAATACATTACAAATCAAATTCATCTTTGAACATATATGAAACCATAATGAATCTTTCTTCATTTAGCAGCGCTTCAAGTACATCTCCTATACCAGAGGACACAATTAGGCAGATAAGGCAGGAGTAAACAACTTATCTTCTGCAAAGATGGAGCTAGGAACACTTATATTTGTTGTTGAACATTATTAGGTTTATTTTAAGTTTATATTTTGATAATTTTGGTATTGTATTATTTTTTATATTAAGTAGAACTTTCTTTAGTTGAAACGCGTATATATATATATATATATATATATATATATATATTATAGTATATACTATTATGGGACAATTTTCTGTTTTTTAGGTGTGATTTTATTGTAAAAATAAATTAATTTAAAAAAAAAATCTAGTAGACGTCTGTTAATGCCATGTCTGACGTTTATAGACGTTTGTCAGTGCACACAGACGTCCAATGAGTTACATGGGACAAAACGTTCCAGGGCAATAGACGTCGGATATCTATACATCCGACGTTTATATAGACGTCGGGTATACCCTTATCCGACGTCTATATAGACGTCGGTTATACCCAGTCCGACGTTTGATTAACGTCACCCACAAAGACGTCGGATCTGGATCTGATGTTAAAAGGCCAAAATAACAGACGTCTAAAGCCCTTTCTGCACTAGTGATGCCATCATAAAATCTTTCCATGATATTCTTAAAATTATGCTAAGCACATATAAATGTCAGCATTGAATCTCTCTGCGAGATTCTTGGAATTACACCAAACACATACATTCTCAGATCCAATAACAAGCCCATAACAATGCTTTCTCATAAAATATATTAACATTAAAGCCATGAACATGAATATTATCATAACCACCAAAGTAGCTAAAGAGAAAAATAGAAAAAATAGTGAAATTGCCTCGGCAGTGGCGTTCAATGCCAAAGCATTCAAAAATTAGTGTTTAGTGGCACCATGTTAGCGCTCAATGTCAGAGCATTCACAAAACTAGCACTTAGCATTCACAAAATTGTGTTGAAATCTTTTTTAATAACATGCAATTACACAATCTTCATGAGAAAATATTAAATTCCTTTTGCTTTCAACTTTTCTCCTCTTTTTTTTTATCAAAATCAAAATACTACCCACCTCACAAAGAAGAACTCCCCTACATAGACCATAAAATTTTTTTAAACAAATAAAGATAAAAGTAAGATTTTATTTAATGAAAAGTATAAAATATGCAAAATAAAAATCACCACTCATTATCATAGTCAAAGTGTTACTCAAATTGTCATTACACCTTTAAAAATACTAGGTTAAGAGATAAACTCTCCCTATATATAATATTTCCCTTTTTGATAAAAACAAATATTTTTAAAATAAATGGTTTCCCTAAATCTAAGATCCCAAAATCTAAGAGACTCCCTATATTTAAGAGTGATTTTAAATATTAAAGAAGATAAGAGTTTGTCTTACATATAATTTTCTTAATTGATAATTTAGTTTGTCTTATGCTAACTCTTTCAATTTCTGCAGTAAAAATATCATGTTTTGTAATGAAAATTATCAAAATAAGTTTGTGAAATAAAATATAAAATAAATTATCTGTAAACAATATGATTATTTACATTAAAAAAATAAATAGCTTAAATTTTTAGTTTTTATTCAATTATTAATGATAAGAACCATCTTTTATATATAGGTGATTTCATTTATAACTATAATAAATTATATGCTCACTTTTGTTGTATAAGTGACAATAATGAAATATATAAATTTTTAGTGTATTATATATGTAGTTTTTGGTGTTTGGGTTTCTCATGGTGTGATGTTGTTCGTGACATTGTAAATTAGGACTTTTATAGCAAGAGAAAGAAAGTGTAATAGAAGAAAATGAAAAGAAGAGGTTTTGTCTTTGGTGTTTGGATCTGATCTGGTGTAATGCACTATCAAATTGTAAATTAAGACTTTTCTTGTAAATTAAGATCATGCAAAAAAAAAAATTCATGCTTAAGTTAGTAATTTGGTTAGAGTTTCTGAAATCAAATTTTAATTAATGTAAAAAGTGAAAATAAATTATTATTAATGTCATATTTATAGTGTTTTGACTCAGTTAATCAAGTATTCAAATATATCGACCACACTTTTCTGGATCCATCATCCAAAAAAGGGTGTTACTCCCTCCACCACCCCAAGTGCTTCTGCACCTCTCCACTATTTTCTTTTATTCCAAAAATACTCTATACACATTCTCACTATTTTCTTTTATTCCAAAAATATCCTACACCTCCCCACTATACAATCTTTCTCTTTCTCTCTCTGCATTAATGGAGCATTCATATGACTTAGATTTAATGTATTTTTAGTGGATTTTATTGTGCCACGTCAATTTTAATATATTTTTTACTACTTTTTTTGTGTAATGTAGGAGTTTATTACACTATTATTTTTTTAATTAATATTTTATTTTGTTGTTGAAAAAATATATACTCTTGTTAGGAAGGAATTGTTTTTTATTCTTATAATTCAACCTTTTTACAACTTTTAAATTCTTTTATCACTTTTATTACAGTGAAATAGTCTTATAAAACTTATTTTTTTAATTAATGTTTTATGGATTAAATATATTTTTTATTTTCAAATTATTATAAAAGATTATGTTCGTTTATAAATTATTATATTTTTACAATTTATGAAAAATAATATAAAATATTTTGTCAACTCATCAATCTTTAGAATAAAAATTTATTGATAAAAAACAACATTAATTAAAAACATCAATTCAATAAATAAATATATATATATATATATATATATATATTATTATGTGTGTTTTTTTTTCTCTTTAAATTCTCAAATAGGTTTCAACCTTTAAAAAGAAAACATAATAACTCTATAATATTAAATTGATAAAATTTTGATATAACAAAAGTGTATATAATTATCTTACAAAATGATCTTATGCATCATGAACGTAAACCATACTACTGATAAAGAGTTGACAAGAGCTGCTGCGTTGTAGAGAAGCAGAGAGAGAGAGAAAAAAACTAATGCCATTTTCGTATATTTAACCGAAGAAACTTGATTGAGACAAATTAAGTATGAACCAAATTGACACTTTTTTAAAAGGTTGGACCAACTTGTCACACTGCAACGAAACTAAGAACGAAACTAAGAACAAATAAAACTATTAAACCTTATTTATATTATCAAATTATTTTAAAATAAAATATTCAGTTTCATTACTTTAAACACCTATTTATTTTAATACTCTATTTGTGTAAGTTATTAGAAATGGTGTTTTTTTAAAATATAATTTAAATTAAATTTACATAAATAGAATTTAATTGTGTTTATATTAAAACATATACTCATTAAGTGTAGAATTAGATACTAATGATACAATAAATTTAATAAATAATAAATTTTGTTAAGGAACATTTTAAATAATTATCGTATTATTTAAAAAGTAAATTTAAATCTAATTAAATTTTAGAAAATTGATTTAAGTAGCGAAACTTGCTTTCATTTATATATTTTATTATAACCGATTCATAGTCAATGTAAACTTTTCAAAATAAGAGTTACATATAGAACATAAAAGTGAGAAGTAACTTATAAGAAAACAATTTTTTTTTATTTATATTGCTCATTTTTTTTTTCTTAATGTAAGAGCTCTAGTAAACATATTTTTATGATTTTAAAGTGAAAAATAATGTATAAAAGAAAACCATATTATTTCATAAACAATGCTTTTATTTATATTCTTCATTTTTTTGTAAGAGCTCGTGTAAACAAATTTTTATGATTTTGAGATTAAAAGAAAATTACTTGTGAGAAAGTTATTTCTAGATTATCTTATTTCTCTCATTTAATATTTTTAATTGTAGATTCTACTATAATTTTTGTCCTTAAATGTAATGTATTTATTCGTAATATTTTAACAAATAATAAAAACTGGTCTTCCAAAATGCAGTTGCTGTTTTAGTCATTTAAAAATAATACACATTAGTTAATCCTCGTCTATTCCAAATATAAAATATTATACTGTTATTTTTTATTTTTAGTTATTTATGTATATAAATTCTTATTATTCACACACATATAAGAATTTAATGAAAGCATATATTTCATTTGAACAATAAAATTTGGTTGGCAACGAAGAGATACACAAATAATCTTCTCTTTTTAAATAAATTGTGATCATAAAATATGCAAATTATCTTATTGGATTAAGTAGTAAGTTCAGAACAAATTTAGTTTTTTTATTCAATTTCTATTAAAATTTTTTAAATTTTGTATATTTTTTAATTAAATTTTAAATTTATTATTAATTTTTTCCTTAAATAAGTAGAAAATAACAATACACAATTTAAATTTTAATTCTATACTAAATTTGTCTATTTTTAATTAAACTTTTACTAAACCGTTTAAAATGTTTATATTTTTATTAAACAACATTGTTTTTTTATAACATTATTGACTTAATTTTTAATTTAATATTTAATTAAAAAACAAAGTATATATTTTTATAAAATAATTAGAACTTTAAATATTTATTATTATGTGTGCTTTGATTAAATTTTCTTTTAAAAGAAAAAAATAATTATATTTTTTTCGAAGAGTAATTTTACATATTTTAAGACAGGCTTAAGCATACAATTATATTTATTTAAAAATAAGTGTACCCCTTGGAACATTATCGAGTAAATGAGATTGCAAAGACAGAAAAATAAGATTTTATTTTTTAATTTATTTTTTAATTTATTTTTTACACACTAAAATCAAGAATTCATTAATTTCATATGGACTAAAATAATACTTAAGGCGTAAAATTATGTAATTGTCCTCTGTGTTTGTGTGTTGGCTGGGATCTCATCTCCTTCACTCCTGTGTTCTCAGGTCCCATCTCTTCCAATTTCCCTCCCCCCATCGAAGTTGACCTTTCATTCCACCATTTCGAATCCCAAGACTCAGGTCTCCCTCTTCTCTTTCTGCATGTCTGTGCGTTTTCGATCTCTATCATTTCATATGGATTGCTTTCCTTGTTGTTTCGATTCGATCTCTTAATTTCCTCAATTAAACCTCTCCATATCATAATTTGTCGGTAATTAGGTTTATGAAGATTTTGAAACTGCGCATTTTCACTTTCTGCTATCTGTGACTGCCTGAAACTTATACTTTATTAGTCTTCAACTGAAATTGAAGCTGCTTTGCGTTTTGTGTGTGTGTGTGTGTGTGAGGAAAGGGGAATTAGTTTTTACTTTTCTGTTTCTATTCAAATTTGATGATTAGTGCGTTTTCTTTAGCACATCTAATTCTTTTAGAGTCCTTTATGTAGAATCCGGATTGGGTTTCTCACGAGTGGCATTCATTGATAATCGCGATTTTTTAGAATTCCGTCTGGTTTCCTGTCCACAGTAAACGATGTTGAAACCATTTTGTGTGGGTTCTGATTCTTGAGTTTATGTGCTTGTTATTTCTTTTCCTGATGAAAGACTGTGTCTGAAGATTGGGTTGTGAGTAATGACGAGAAATTTCTTTTCAGGTCTGGTAACTATCGAGGTTATTGGGTGTAGAAGGGAACTATGGCAGCTTCAGAGGAGAATAGTGCACTGTTCCCAATATTCATTTTGACAATAATGGCCATTCCTATAGTGCCATACACAATAACAAAGTTGTGCCGAGCTGCCTCTAAGAAATCAAAGAGCATACACTGTCAGTGCTCTGAATGCTCGCGGTCGGGCAAGTACCATAAATCAATATTCAAGAGGGTCAGATCATGTTTATTTCATTGTCTTAGATGATTGCTTAGTTATTTGTGGTATTTAATCTAACTCTGGTATTATGTCTTGTTTCTCCTTCTTAGTGGTGCTCTTTTCCCTTTGATTTTGCAGATTTCGAATGTGTCAACCTGTAGTAATATGACATTATTACTGCTTTGGGTGATTATGATTATTCTGGTTTATTACATAAAGACCATGAGCCGTGAGGTAAACAATAAATAGGTTAAAATGAATTTAGCTATTCCACTGCATGTGATTTTAGATTAGTATCGAGGGATCTTGTATTTGTGGTGTAACATTTTACTCATTGGTTAAGTGTTCCAATGGTCCACATTTTGAAATTTTCACGGTAAATTTTGTGCAGATCGAAGTTTTCGACCCATTTAGTATTCTAGGGTTAGAGCCTGGAGCGGCAGAGTCTGAAATAAAGAAAAAGTATAGGAGACTTTCAATTCAATACCATCCAGATAAAAATCCGGATCCAGGTTGAAGGTGTTTCAATTTTTTATTTTTGTGTTGTTGCATTCCAAACTCTGATGTTTGCTGGGATGCAGGCTTTCTTCAATTACCCATGTAACTGATATATTTTGATCCTTTTCATTTAGAGGCACACAAGTACTTTGTTGAGTACATTGCCAAGGCTTATCAAGCTCTTACAGATCCAATAGCTCGTGAAAATTATGAAAAATATGGCCATCCTGATGGCCGACAGGTAAAAACACAAGGTTATGGTAAAATGCTAAGACGCTTTTATCTTTTTGTTTTACACTGTTGAAATATACATGATATTTTATTGCAGGGATTTCAAATGGGTATAGCTCTTCCACAATTCCTGCTAAATATTGATGGGGCATCTGGGGGAATACTTCTGCTTTGGATTGTTGGTGTGTGCATTCTCTTGCCACTGGTTATTGCTGTTGTTTATCTCTCCAGATCGTCAAAGTATACTGGCAACTATGTGATGCATCAAACACTTTCCACTTACTATTACCTCATGAAGCCTTCCTTGGCCCCCAGGTTTGTACATTTTTTTTCTGTTAAACTCTGTCGGTCTTCATTTTGATGTATGTTTATCTATTTCTTTATATACTTAAATTAAATTGAAGTTCAATTAGAAATATCACCAGTGTTAGTTTGCAAAAGGATGTTTATGTAAAATAAATAAGATTTTAAAACCCCTTTCCATTTCATACTGAACTTACAAGATTAAATTGTGCTGCAATGTTGATGGAACATTGGGATTTAAAATATTACTTATCTGAGATTTAAAATAAAACAGTTGGCTTATTTTATTTAACCCATTCTAAACTTTAAAGTTTATTATGTGTGACGTTGTACAGCAAAGTCATGGATGTTTTCATCAAAGCTGCCGAATATATGGAAATTCCAGTTCGTAGGACTGATGATGAACCTCTTCAGAAGCTTTTGTTGTTGGTAAGAAGTGAGTTGAATCTTGACCTCAAGAACATCAAGCAGGAACAGGCTAAGTTTTGGAAGCAGCATCCTGCTCTAGTTAAGGTATCTTCTTGTATGGCTAAGCTTATTGAAGCTTTCCATTTTTTTCTCTCCTTCTGGGAGCGCAAGTGTCCTATTCTGGTCTTTCATTATGAGCCAACATCTTTTCCATTTTCTTTCAGACAGAGCTGTTAGTTCAAGCTCAGTTGACCCGTGAATTTGCATCCTTGTCTCCATCTTTACAAAGTGATTTTCGAAGAATTTTAGAAACAGCACCTCGCCTTCTTGAAGAATTAATGAAGGTCTGGCATATTATTTCACCTTACTTATCGAAGTATACTTTACACTGTTAACTTTTAGTAGGGGAATATTCTCTTTCCCTTTTGGTAGAAGCAAAATAAGTTGTATCTAAACATCTTAATCAAACATGTGGAAAATTTTCAGCTTACCTCCCTTATAAGTGAACTGGAAAAAGGTTATATTGTAAAAGGGAACTGATTAGAGCTAATAAATAATTTCATGAGCTGTGTGGTTTTTGTTATTGATGAATAATGTAAAGAATAATGCTACATATGACATCATATTAGCAAAATCAGTCATGAATGTCTTGGCATCACTTTCTTGGAAAATATCTGAAAACCTAATTAAATGAAAAGATACAGACCATATGTTATTTCTCTTAAGCTATTATTTTGTGTTTTTAAAAATAGTTTTGGTAGCTTTTTTTGTTTTCCTTATGCTACTGCAAAGAAGGTATAGAAGTAGAGTAACGGGTTACTGAGATTTACAGTACCAAATCTAGATCATACCTATCATGAAAATGTGCTTATTATATATACTGGTTGGTCGTTGTAATATTTAGTTTTTGCTTGTGATGAATCTCTTGTATGATGTATATGATATCCCTCTTTCTGGATTTTAGTCATGAGTCTGTGATATTTGTATTTCTGTACACTCTTAATGCTCTACTATTTTTTAAAAGATGGCAGTTATACCCCGAAATGCTCAGGGCCATGGTTGGCTGAGGCCTGCAATTGGTGTTGTTGAACTTTCTCAATCTATCATCCAGGTGATGAATCTAATTCGAATTTTCCATATGCAGTTATTTTCTCCAATTGCATCTCCTGATATGTTCAGTTTTGAAAAATCATGTTTAACATTTACAGAATACTCTCACAATACTGAATACTTTGGGATAGTATTCATTTTATTCTTTATCGTCATTTGTTTGTAAGTTGAGTTGTAATTGTTTGTCATGTTTCTATCCCATGCTTGTTTATAAATGACCTTGAAATGATATAACTTCGGCCACCCCTACACTTCTATCATATAAGGAGAAAAGGAAATACTATTTAACTTAGTTAAAGTGACAGAAAACCACTTTCTAGTATTTGTATATAATGTATTTCACATTTTCTTTTTTGCCTCTTTTAGAATATGGGAGAAATATCTCAATATCTTGCACACACGTTAAGAGGACATGTACATATTTTCTATTTGTCACACCTGGCTAATAAGATTTTTTTTTGGTAAATGCATTTAAGATGTGCCTGAGCTTGTTGAGTAAACCAAAAGTCTTTTTAATTTTTTCCTCCAGCATCTTTTGGTTCTTATGTAGATGTTTCTTGGTGTAACGTCATCTCTTCAAGAACAACACAATTCGGTTATGCTACACAAATTTGCACATATAGATATGGTCTCAGTGTAGTTTGAAAGGATGTCTTATTGGTATAATTTTATTTTATATGGAAATTTGCGGCTCATTGTTTTTCATGTTTGTTTTTCTTGTCTTGTAATAGCCAAGCATTTTAACTGAATATATCATCAATTAATATTTGTTTTCGTTGCTTTTATGTAAAACAATATTTATAGGATGTGCTTTTTCATGATTTATGATCTCCTATGCAGGCTGTTCCTCTCAGCGCTAGAAAATCTACTGGTGGATCACCTGAAGGCATTGCACCGTTTCTGCAGTTGCCACACGTTAGTGAGACTATTATTAAGAAGGTGGCCCGCAAGGTATGTCAAGATTATTCCTAATCTTGCCAACCAATTCTAAATGATTTTTTACTCATACTTTCATGGTTTAAAGATATTGAACATTGGCCTGAGTTAAGATATCAACAAACCTTTTTATACACATTTGTCCTGGGGATCTAACTGTAGCTAATTAGCTCCTTGCTTGATCCAATTTAATACAAGTTTTTTCGTGTCAATGCCAAGTGCTCTCTAGATTGACAAATGGATAGTATTCAAATGAATTAAGTTTACAAAAAAAGAACACGTTAGTGAAATGGTGATTAGTCTTTATTGAGAACTTGAGTAAAGAGTAAATCTTGATATTTTATTTTTAGATGTTTTATAAAATTGAAAATGAAACCATTTACTTTAATTTAGTGTAACTACTTCAGCTAGATGACAGGAAACCTTTACATCCAATTTTGAAATGGGGCAATATTATTGGATTGGATCCTTCTTTAGTGGCTGAATTACTAATTTGGATTAATGAGTTATCTTTTTTTTTTTTTTTAAATGCATGGATATCTCTGGTGTGCACAATTAGCCCGAAGTTGTGTATACTGTATAGTGACTTGAGAATTTTCTTGAATGCAGAAGGTGAGAACATTTCAGGAACTTCATGACATGGACTCTCAGGAGCGAGCTGACCTGCTTATTCAAACAGGTGGCTTATCTTCTGCTGAAGTGCAAGACATTGAGACTGTACTGGACATGATGCCTTCCTTGACACTTGAGGTAACTTGTGAGACCGAAGGTGAAGAGGGTATACAAGAGGGTGACATTGTGACAATCCATGCTTGGATAAATGTTAAAAGGGGAAATGGCCTGATTGGTGCTCTTCCACACGCCCCATACTACCCATTTCAGAAAGAAGAAAATTACTGGTTTTTGCTTGCAGATTCTATTTCAAATAATGTATGGTTTTCTCAGAAGGTTAGTTTCATGGATGAAGCTGCTGCTCTAACTGCTGCATCTAAGGCAATTGAAGAATCTATGGAGGGGTCAGGAGCAAATGTGAAGGAGACAAGTAGGGCAGTTGCAGAAGCAGTTGAGAAGGTGAAAGGGGGCTCTAGATTGGTATTGGGCAAGTTTCAGGCCCCTTCAGAGGGTAACTACAGTTTGACTTGCTATTGTTTGTGTGATTCTTGGTTGGGCTGTGACAGAAGGACAAATTTGAAGCTCAAAATTTTGAAACGGACTCGGGCTGGCACCAGGGGTGCTGTTTTGGCCGATGAAGGACCTATCACGGAGGATGGAGTTGAGGAGGATGAGGACAATGAGGATGGAGAGTATGATGATGACTATGAGAGTGAGTACAGCGAAGATGAAGAAGATGATCAAAACACAAAAAATAAGCATCAAGCTGCCAATGGCACCGTTAATAAACATGGTCAAGGTGCAGAAAGTTCAGGCTCTGATGAAGAATGATAAGTCTTTTCCTAACTCGATAGAACCATAATTTTCTTCTTTTTTCCCTCTTGGATGGTAGAACTATATCAACTGTAGAAGTTATAGTCTGCATTGTTCATTTTGTTTATCGGTTGGACTGCGTTGATGCTTGGACTTCTGTCGTATTTTAGTTCAGCTGATATCATCGTGATTAAATTGTCATATCATCTGAAAATTTCGAGTATGGTAAACCAGAGTAAGGATATAATTTTGTTTTTACAAGTGTAAAACTTCTATTAAATGTTTTATCGAGAAATTTTGGTTGACAGTGTCTTAATTACTATTTGGCTGGCAATATGGTTGTTTTGTTATTGCTTTTAGATTGGTAAAACACGATAAGGGGTATTATTAACCAAAAACCAATGATTCTTTTTAAAAAGCTTCTTGGAGGCAGGAGTGTTTGTTTTTAAACTCTCATTTTTTTTTGGTCTTGATAACAAAGTGAAACTTATTCTCAAAGAGCTTACAAAATTGAAAAAAAAAAAGAGATTTTGTTTAAAGCCAGTCTCTTTATTATGCTTATAATAAAAAGAAGTAAAAGGTGAAGGAAAAAACCTATTGACATTACAAAGTAATGCAGAATGTGGGATTATACATTTGATTCTCTTCTAGTAATTTCTTGAGTAAAAATTTGTTATTCTAAAAGATGCTGGTAAGAATGATTTCGATGTTATAAAAGATAATTTTAATTTAAATAAAACTGCATCTAGAATAAGATAGATGGTGTTTTAAATATAATTGTTTCCTGTAAAGGATATACGTGGAGAAAGATGTGAAGGTAGAAGTTAGAGGGTAAGAAATGTTGTGTTTGGTTTGTGGAAGAGCTGTAATTAGTATCAACAATGATAATCGATTCTCTCAACTATAATATAAGTAGGATGGTCGCTAGGTTGGCCTAACATGGATTGGTGAAGGAACAAAGCAGCAAGACTCTCCTACCACTCTCATTAATAAAGTTTCATGGAATTAGTTGAAATCAACAATTTCAACTATGTCTAAAAGTTATACGAACAAAATTAAATTAACACAACCTAACAAAATAAAAATTAAATCACTTACATTCAGGCTGCTGATTTCTTACTTTAATATTTTAATATTAATTAGCCTATTAAGGTCAACTTTTTTGTGATTTGCAATAAAAATCTACCTTTTAATAAATATGAATATTAATAAAAAGTATAATACAATATATATATATATATATATATATATATATATATATAAGTTTTTAAAGTTATATAATAAACTTTAAATACTCTTAATCATTTAAATGAAAATGATGATATTAGAACGAAAATGAAATGAATATATATATTTATTTTTGTTTTGTATTTAATTTAAAAAATTAAATATTATTTATATTTATATTTATATTTATATTTCTATTTCTATTTAGTCAATATAATTTATTTTTATCAAAGTAAAGATAAATTCAAACAATACCTAAAAAAGATAAATTTATTTGTGATAAAAAATCTCAATCCATCGACAAGGAGAGGTATTATTAACTAAGGATGGAATTAAATTCAGCTCCTCTGGCCACTTTGAGTATTTGGATATTTTTGTATCTTAACAGCTAACAACATGTGCGATGACAACAGTGTTTTAGTTTATACAAATACATTTAATAACACATTTAAGTGATGTCGATAACTACTTGGAATTAGGCACTCAATAAAACCATATTAAATACACAACTTCAATTTCTTTCTTAATTATGTTACTGACGTCGTCGGTTTAATATTAAAAATAATATACTTTAGCTATAAACAATTATTATTAACTTTTGTACATTTATATTACTATTCAATTTTAACATCAGCAATTAATTTGATAGTAAATCAGATACTATTTTATCATTAAATTGTATATTATGGATTCATATTTTTCAATTTTTTAAAAACTAAACTGGCAACTTATGTTTTATCTTAAATACATATCCAGACACTTCTTCCAAAGACAAGTAAACACGTATTAAATTCATACTAGTAAACAAGATAGACGATTTAAACACTTTTCTTAACACAAACGATGCTAAATTTGTTGAACATTTTATTTTACTGTCTTATTACTTATTTAATTAGCCTTATTCATGATTTTAATTTTTTTAACTAATACTAAAGTTTAATGAATTTGAATGATCAAAATTATCAATAAATTAAAAATTATTGATAAACTTACTATACGTTTAAACTTGTTGGATGATCGTAATCGTATTTTGTTAATGCAAATTTTATTTTTCATGGTGAAAATTTAATTATACTTTTCTATATAACTTTTAAGTTACTTATTATTAGACTAAACAAATTTATAATACTTAAATTTTTTTTATACCTATAAAGACTTTTAGAAGAGATAAATATGAAAATAAAATTATTTATATGCTAAAATTTTCTTATACATAAGCTAATTTATAAAAACTATCTTACATAATATTTTAAAAATTTCATATTTAACCTGTGTATGAATTGGCTTTATTTTATTTTTATTGAGAACACACACTTAGTCTATTTATGCATTTTATGTCGCATATTATCTCGTTTTCTCTGTCGATGTAAAAACGTTGATATTTATTTAAATATAAATATGTTAAAATGGACTAATATTTATATTTATTAAGGTCAATTCTAAAATTTTCATTCTAAATATAATTTTATAAATAATTATACGTACAATAAAAAATTAAACTGTTGTTCTTACATTTTGAATAATTTATCGAAACAAAATATTGAAAAATAGTAAAAGCTAAATTTTAAATATTTCAAATTCTTAAAAATTTTAAAACTTGGAAATCCATGTAAATTTTGAGCATAAAACCAAGCAGGAATTTGCAACATGGGTAGCTGTGGGAGCCATACACGTGTAATAGATTGCGCCACCCTATAAATTTCATTTACTCTCTCATCCCTGCTCTCCCCTCTTTGATATTAACTCTCATCCATGCTCTCTACTCTTTGAAATTAATTCCCCCCATACTCATTCCCACGCTGCTTCACTTTCAATGTCGCCGTCTTCCGCCGACCACGGCGGAGATCACCCCTGCTCCCGGCAAGAAATCAACGGCTTCTCCAATGACCACACCGAAGTGGCCACTCCTTGCACGGCGTCGTCGACGCTCGGCTACATCGTCGACGCGGTCCCTGCAAACGAGCGGGAGAAGCTCCGGAGAATCCTAGTCGCTTCCGCAAAGGGTTTCTCGATCGGCGCCGGCATCAAGGGTGGCCTCGCTATCTTCGCGATCTTGGCTCGGTTGACGCGGAAAAAGCCGCCAAGGTGAGAAAAACAAAAAAAGAGAAAGTAATAAATAACAGCTTTCTCTCAAGCGCTTTATCGGTAACTGTGCTATTCTTTCGTTCAGGAAGGGGATTGTGGTGACGAACAGCGATGCAATTGTCGAGGCTCTGAAGGAAACATTGAGATACGGTCTTTTCCTTGGAACCTTCGCCGGAACGTTCGTGTCCACCGACGAGGTTATCGGTGCTCTCGCTGGTCACCGTAGGCATGCTCTCTTTCTTTCTCACTTAAATGCGTGTAGCATTCTTTCGATGTAGGTCTGTGTAGAACTGATTCAAAACTTCAAAACTCGGTGATACAAATGTTGCATGTTACTGGTTGGTGATTGTGATTTGAGTCACGTAATTGAATTAAGCTCCGTTTGGATAAAGTTTCAAATAAGCACTGACGTATGGTAGTTAGAATCAATTTATCCTACTTTTGTACTTTGGTAAGTTATATCAGAGAACTGTTATGAAAGTTGAAGTGCATGAGTTGATTTTAATTTATGGAAAAAAAGTTCTATTCGTTTATTTTCCCTCTATTTTAAGCTCTTTAAAGCAGGGTCTTTTGTTTGATTTTCTGGAGTGGAAGTGGTGGTGATTGGGTTTTTGTTGTGGTTCAGGACTGCGAAGTGGAGGGCTCTGGTAGCAGGGGCGGTGGCCGGGTCTTCGATGCTTCTTACAGGGTTAGAAGATCAGCACACGAGTTTGGCGATTTACATTCTCATGCGTGCTGCTGTCTTGGCGTCTCGTTGTGGGATTAAGAGCAAACGGTTTGGAAAAATTTGTAAGCCTCTCACGTGGAAGCACGGTGACATTTTCCTCATGTGTCTCTCCTCCTCGCAGATATTGTATGTGATCATGTTAATTACCCTTTCTCTATCTTTTTTGGTTAGTTAATTTTTGCCGAGGAAATTGTTCTGATATTACTTTTATGAAATGACTATCCCTGTTTATTCTTTTTTTAGCTTAGTGTCACTTTTGAGTACGCTATTTAGTCTTTCAAATTTTATGGCCTAGTTTTGTGATTTCTGTAACATAGTCTGTGTTTGACTTGATGACTTAAACACATTTTAAGGTCGCTGGATTGTGTGGATGGATCCAAGGTGTTTTGTTCATTTCATGGGTAAAGCATGTATGAACTTAAGTCCAAGTGTGATGCATTACTCTTATTATATAAAAATGGTTATATGCACACTCCGCCAAATCCTGATCCTGTCCGAGTAACTAATTTGTATAATGTGAGGGGCTGAATAGTTGACCCAGTGGGCTCTCGCTATATATGGACTTTGATTTTAATGCTAAAAAAGTTTGTGACTAGTAATCAGTTTTGGTAATCAGTTTTGCGACTAGATATCCATGCTTTGTGCTGAGAGAGACTGAAGGTCCGGGGTTACCTTGTATAGTTGTCTTACAATTGGATATATATGTGCACAATGTTTGTTACAGACCATATAATACACGTGCTCCTATAATAGTCTGGTAAATATAATGTTATTCGACAAATAGGAAGGAAATAATGAAAGGAACTGAATAATTCATACTGATGAACCTGTTACCCACCCACCTTAAAATTCCCCTCGATAACCCTTGAGATTTATGTCATGTAGATGATGCATTAATTTTGATATTGTAAGAAAACTTTGGATGCCACTTAAATTGATGTGAATGAAGATGTCTCATTTTATAGCTACAATCCTTGATAGTTTCTTTTCTGAGCTATGCTTCTGGAAATTAGACTCTTTGTATCCCTCTTGCCCTCTCCTTACTTTTGTGTTCTAATAATGAATAATAATGTGAAATTTTGGTTTCAGGTCTGCTTATATATTAAAGCAAGACAGTTTACCAGCTTCATATAAATCCTTTCTCAATAAGCATGGTGGAAAGGATCCAGTTATCTTACAAGGTGTAAAAGATATAGCGAGTGGCAAGCCTTTCACTAATTTGGGTGCAATTGAGAAATACTACAAGAACATGGGTGTCGATGTGAAATTAAAACCAGATATGAAAGTCCCATGCTCGGTATGAAATACTGAATACTGTGATTTTTCCTTTTTTTTTTCTCTATCTATAGTTTTAATTAGCCTGCAGCAAATAAATAAAGAAAACTTAGTTTTTGAGCATTATGTTCATGATGAAATTTGTAGTTGAATTTGATTGCACCTTAACTGTAATTTAAATTTTTTCATTGAAATTGAATAGTAGGAATTCTGGTTCTTATGACAAATGCTAACTCATTTAATTTGTGAATACAAAGTGAACTGGATTTAATAAATGTCTTCCCCTTGCCGAAAATATATAATTTTTATTTTCTCTTCTCTTCTAGGCCCTATAAAAAATGCACATTGAGTTTAATGTGACTAAATATATTGATTTTTTTCTTCTGGGTTGTGTTCAACTTTACCTTTCTGTCACCTGATGCGCTATATTGAGTCATGCATTCTGTAATCTCACTTTGAACCATGTCATCTAGATCTGTTCAAAATTTAATTGTTAGCCAGGATAGAAATTGTGATTTCTTGTCTCTTCTTCTGGCATTTAAAATCAACGATATTTTGCAGATTGTACATGGGAATCAAACATGCACTGGACATATCTTCACTTTTCTCCTTCAAGCTTACCAAAGAGCACTACCTGTTTATCTTCCAGTTTATTTGATACCTGCACTTATTGTTCATAGAAAAGGACTTTTAAAAAGGTGATGATCTAAAAGGAATACATTGCAACCGATTTACTCTTCACCTGATTCTAGGCGTTACTTTTACAAAACATGTTATATCAGGATTAAATTTCTGAGAGCTATAAGTTTTATTGTAGATAGTAGCTTTTTGAAGTGAGTATATTATCAGTAGCATATATGCTATTTTTTTTTTCATGAAAACGGAGTGCTAGCAACACCCTTCATAATTGGTTGAAATATATTGAAAACTACAAAATCAGGATAGAGAGGCATTAAATGAGAAGAAATGTGTGACTTCCAATAAATTTTAGTCAATAATGGTAGTTCAAAAGAGGGTGTTGTCTATATTGCCACAATATAAAGAATATTGTGACTTCCAATAAATTTTATTAAAGATCATACTATGTCACGTAGTTATACAGATTTGCTCTTATTCCCATTATTAAAATGTGCAGGCCTAGCACAATATTAACCAAGGGTCTTCTGGGCACAGCGAGATCAAGCTTGTTTCTGTCTGTGTATTGCGCTTCTGCTTGGTAAGCATCAGAAAGTTTGTTCTAGCACTACTCTATTGTTACTGGTTGTCTTACTACTAAATTTGCTAGTTGAGTTTGACATTTCCAATCATGTTGAAAATGAAATAACATGCTTTCCGTGTGGGATATAAGTAGAACTTTCAGATTGGGTTTGGCCTCGATGGACAGACCTGAAAAGCCCAGAAAATGGGTTAGTCCAGTTTGTGGCCTAAATTAAATCGGACCATAGTTTTGCCAGTCCATAGGCTTATGGTCCAGCCTGTTTTCTAAAATAATAATTATACTTTAAAAAAATGAATATATTATAGTAAGATATTAAAAAATTCTATTAAAACATGTACTTTAGTTACAATTTATATTTATATATCAAATTATTATATCTAAATTAAAATTAATTTCATTAATATTACCTAGATTTTAAAAATACATATTTTATTTTTAATTTGTTTATGTTGAACTATTTTTCTAACTTTTTAAATGGGCCATAATGGTCCGTTGGCCTGACATAACTCCAGTTTGAACCTAAATATCGCAGTCCATTTAGAATATGGGCCGGGCAGGGCAAAGTGTTTTTCCACCTCTAGATATGAGGGTCAAGATGCTCGCATAAAAGTTTTAGTTGAATTGCTCAAGTTTATTTTAAACACAATTACTGATAAATAAAAGGATCTGTATGTAGTTCTGATAAAACAAACAGATTCAGCTGGATAATTGTGAAACAGATACCCGTATCTAATTAAAATGAAAGTTTTTCCATTGATTTTATTGAGAAGATTTTCTATCATTGTTTTATACACCAGCCCCAACACTCACATGGGCTTGCTGTGCACTAGTCCCAGGCAAACACTTCAATGCTGGTGTCACCACCCGTGCTGCTCGGTTGCAGTTGAGAGACGTGGTGGAAGGCTTTGATACTAGATGATAAGAATCTTGAGGAAATCACACTACAAAAGCAAGCTGCGGTTGTAGTAGAAGAGCCCAAAGCTTTATGAACCACATTAGAATCCCATATGTCCAATGTGAGACTCAAATTCCGTACCTTGCAATTGGATCTTAACTCTTTCTGTTTCTTTCTCAACTGGTTCATGATTGATACCATGTTATGAACCATCTAATCACCTATCGATTTGCTGATAGCCCAGCATTAAGTGTATATTTCTAATATGGTTAAAATACTTCTTATAGTAAGATTTCAACAAGCTTCCTTCCTTAAAAAAGCTTTTAGGGTTCGTTTCTAATATGTTATGAAATCCTCTATAATCAAGTGGTCTAAAATGTTCATCCTTGTTGCTATATCTCTAATAAAAAGTTGAATTTCAGCGAAGGTAAATGGGTCTCTGTATCATCTACGAGTCAAACAATCAGGTCTTTGTATTATTCATGATTCTGTAGTACATAGCTCATGCTTTTGCATTAGATGGCGCATGAGATATGCATTTACTAGCCTTATCTTTTTCTTATTCTTCTTTGTTTGGGCTCATTATTTACTTAAACAACATGGATTTCATAAACGTAAAACTGACATGTACAAATGACTCTGTTCTTCAGGATGTGGACATGCTTTCTTTTCAGGATTTTCAAAAGATGTAACATTCCAATGGTGGCCATGGGAACGGTATGTTACTAACTGCATCCATTTTTTTATTATTATTGATTGAAGTTATTTCTAATTGTATTATTTCTTGGAAACGGTATTTAATTTCAATTGCATTAGCAATTTATTTGTCAAAGTTGAAATTTGCATACTCGTGCAGTTTCCAACTGGCCTTGCATTGGCCATTGAGAAGGAAAGCAGGCGAATGGAAATATCATTATACTGCCTTGCCCGGGCGATTGAGAGTTTCTTTACATGTGTAGCTGATGCAGGATATCTGCCACAATCAAGAAGGATCAAGAGGGCTGATGTGGTGGTTTTCAGCTTGTCAACAGCCATCATAATGCATTGTTATGCAGAGGAGAGGGAAGTGTTTAAATCCAAATACTTGAATGTCCTTGATTGGGTATTTGGGGTACCTCCTCCTCCATGTGAAACCCCGAGATGCAAAGGTAGGTAGGTGAAAGTGCTAGTCCAACAGGGTTTTTTATCTTGAAAAATCTCCGACTTGATTTTGCCTTCAAAATTTCACTGGTGGTCTACAACCTTAATTGTGATCCAGTAAATCCACGTTCTAACGCATTATTTACAACACACTGTTTATTATTGGGTATAATTCATGTGTTCCTGAATAATAAATGAAACTCTTTAAATTAGGGAAGACCCATATCATTTATCGGAACTCATGTGATTTTTACTCAATAATAATGTATTGAAAAGAGTGTGTTAGAAAGTATTTTCTTCATACCAAAGTAAGTGACGTTAATTTAGTAATTTTTTCTACCAGTCACGATTTAGGATTTTAATAAACATTTAATATTTTATTCTATTTTCCCCTTATAAATTATTAATATGGAAATAGTCTTTATCACAGAATAAATTATAAATTGTAAGGATAAATTAGGAAATTTGCTCAACTTATTTATTTATTAGTTTTCTTAATATTTTTAGAACACCTTATACGTCACTTATTTTGAGAAGAAGGGAGTATATTGATTATTTGTGTTTAGTTGGTGGGTTCAATTGGATCCTTGTCATTCAGAAGGTACTTGTTGTAGGGAATGCTTTATTTTGGTTATTGACATGCTATTGGCTGGTTAAAGTTTCTCACATTTTGTATTGAGTTGAGAAGTATAAAGGATTATTTATTTGAAGCAGTGGAGGGTGGCAACATAGGTGTGGGCTCAGGTCCTTTCCTTTCTCATGTATATATGGATTTTCTATATCTTTTTCAAGTATAATGGTATACTTTAGATTCAAATATACTTTTGCTTCTTATGATTTGTATTTTTTGGCATTTTGTCAAGTACTTTTATTTTAAAACAGTAAATTCTTTTATAAATTTACAAGTCAGTATATAACTTTTTCCTGTAAACGACGTAAGGTGAATTTGGGATTGGTAGGATTCCAAATTTTCTGCGTTCTCTCTGTATACCACATCATGGCCCCATAATACTTACACTTTCACTTTCAAGATGGATCACCCAACTGTTTAATTATGAGTATGAATACTTCTATGTTGTCACACTTCCTTAACAAATATTGTAAGTATCCAACTCAATTTCTCCCATCATGATGAGATAATCATCATGTAACAAATTATACATGATTTTCTTATTATAAGAACTAAGCTTTTAAATAACTATGTAATTCATTCACTTCTGAGATACAGTCGTTGCCAGTTCTTGAAATCGTAAATAATAGATAGATCCAAGATTGACAAATAAATAAATTTTATTCTTTATCAAACTTGTACTATTTCATTCATCGGGTGGTTGGCGACAACTAGATAAAGGTTTGGTATCGTGAGAGACATTGTTATGAATCTGTCTATATATTCGTATTCTTAAAGATGGTCGTTTCCCCCCTAATTTACACTGTCTAGGGACATAATTCTACAATGACTAACAACGTTATTTGAAAAAAAATGTTGATTTTAGGTGTTCGTTCGGGTTGGCCTATCCCTCATATTTTAATGCTTAGGCACTTCCACTTAGAAGGAAGAATGACAACCATAATCTCGCGAGTTAAAGAATGGTCTTTGACGGTAACTTTGCGTGGGAGGGTAGTTTGCCAAACTTCCATAATGTGGGAATAGTAGTTAGTTGTTTGGATTCTTTTTCTTTTGTCAATGAACATCTGTGTTGTTGCATGACAAACTCAGTTGGTTATTACTGTAAGGTTATCAGAGAAGGGAAAGAATTGTAGATATACATGTAGAGAAGAGAAAGCAAAAGTAATTGATTAATTGGAATTAGGATTCAATGACATGTTTCAAGTATTGAGGACTGCGTTTCGTCGATCGTTTCCAATATTTCCAATATGTCTAGTTGGTTACGTTGCTTCTGGAGGTCGTTTTGTTGTTGTTATGTGAGTTCAGTGTTGTTATTGGACAAGAACTTGGTCTCTAGCCAGTTGTTGAATGATCTCTTCACTCAACTACTAAATGACTACAATTTCATTCTGTACTGTTTCATCCTTCTTTTAAATTAGATTCTTCGTATATATTTTGAAATTGTTCACTGTCTTTGAAAGCTCTATCTCATCATTTGATAAACAAGAGATTTATTCTAACTTAAGAATCATAAATATGAGTGGTTGTGACAAATTCAGCCAAGGTCCATGGTGAGTAAATGTTGTTACGAAAACCAAGAATGAGTTGCTCTTCAAAATTAGTAATCCTACTCCAATTTTAACAATTTAATCCCTTATATAACAATGGTTATTATAAAGGTACATTTTTTATATATATATTTTCACAACAAAGATACCTAGAGTACTTGTCCGTGAAGTGAGAACCTCAAGCAATATATTTTTCTTCACACGTAAATCTCTGATACCAAACACAAGCATCCAAGACAACGTGCATAAATCTACACATAATCTAAAAAAGGTTTTTAAATCCATCGTTTTCCGAGATAATTAGGCAAATCTAATTCTAAAACCACCTTTTCAAAACCACCATTTCTCCTGTAAATTAGCACCATAAACAATTTTGGCTGAAGGGACCGTAACAAAATTAGATAACTTTATTGTCTCAAAATTTCCAAATCTATATCATCAATCAATTTAGCTCTTCTCATCTTCTTCCCTCAAGATCAGCCACGATATCCATGGCTGCTACCAAACCCAATACCACCATCCACAATCTCTTCGACGATTCCCTCACCGAAATCTTCTGCAAACTCCCATGCAAATCCCTTTTCTCATGCAAGAGCGTTTCAAAGCATTGGCTCACACTCATTTCCAATCCCAATTTCCATTCCGTATACCTCACTCACCAACACACCCTCTTCCATAAAATCCAATCCCGAGGAGAAGACCCTGATCAACCCAGTTTCATTCTAAAGCCATACAATGCCCTCGTCATAGCACCAAATTTACCCTCTCTTCAACTTGGCTCTCTCGAAAACCACCTCTCTCTAACCTCCCTAGGCTCAGATTTCGAACCGGCTAACATTGTACCACAACTACGGTCTGTGTTAAAGTTTGTTTTTGCATGTTCCAACGGTTTACTCGTATATGGAAACCCTCGTCCACGTCACAAATGCGTATACCACGTACGTAACCCACTTACAAAGGATTCATTGAAACTCCCTTGTGCTCCAACTCTCTGTGACCACGCTGGGGTTCTCGTTGGTTTCATGTGTGACCCTTATTACTGTCTTGCAAAAGAGAACTCCGGCGTATCTATTGTTCCCACTTCTGAACGCAGGTTCAGGGTGGTTCGCATCCCTGCGTTCAGCGACACGAGGGTTGCGTTTGATGTTGAGGTTTTCTCTTCCGAGACAGGGAAATGGAAGCGGTTTGTGGTGTCGTGTCCACAGGGGTTTGCGTGTGGATTTTTTCTGACTTCATCGAGCGTTGAGCACGAAGGGAAGTTGTACTTCATGGGTGGAGGGAGGGTCCTCGTGTATGACCCTTATGATGATGAGTGTGTGGCTTCTGTGATTGAACTTCCCCGTGGCTTTGGCGAAGCGTACAGAGGGTGCCTTGGGGTTTCTTGTGGAAAGTTGCAGTTATCTGAGTTCCCTATCTCTCCCTCCAGTGCCTTTGAAGCTTACAGTGGGAGGGTTTGGGAGTTGGAATATTGTGGGATGGAAGAAGAAAGAAGATGGAAACTGGTGCATGAGTTTTGTCTCCCTGAGATTATTGGGCCAATGTTTCAAGAGTTGAAAGCCTTGGAGGTTGAATATGTGAGGGGTTGCAGTAGGATTCTGGCTTTTCATCCCTATGTTAAGGACAGTGTGTTTCTGAAGTTTGGTGATAACATCATTTGCTGCAATTTGTTAACTCGTAGGTTTAGAGTTTGCAAATACGGTGGTCTCTCCTTGCTGTTTTATCCGGTGATCCCAGTTCTGCTCCCTTGGTGGCCAACTCCGATTCCTTCATCCCCCTCTTTGGTTGATCCTTCTGTCTAGCTTTTTCTTTGGAGATGACACTGCGTTTGGAACTTGTATATTATGATGTTCTTCTTCATTGAGACGAAAAGTGTAACTTTAGATTCACAAAAATCTTGTGTTTTTATGTAAATAAAGAACTAGAGTTATTACCATGTTTTGCTTTCTTCAAATGTCATTGTTAACTTGTTAAATTCTTCTGAATTAGATTTAATATAATTATATATTGACAGTTTCTTTTCAAAATACCACTGCTAATCACTTCCTTCATTGACAGCGGAAACATATATATATATATATATATCTAAGTTGAGAAATTAGACAATTATGTTTGAAAAATGTTCTTTTAACAACTTTTTTCTGTGAAGAAATCACACTTACATTTAACACAATTAGATTTTTTTATTAAAGGATAAACTTTTTAAATAAAAACATGACATTTAAGGCGATTAAAAAAAATTATTGGTATGGATAATAATAAATAACATAAATAAGTTTTAAAAATTTATTATTTTTATTTTAATATTAATGAAAGGAGTTGTTAAATAATTGCATCTTTAGAAATGACGTACAAATATCTTAGGTTTAATTTTAAGTAGTCTTTTCCATTTCTGTAATGTAATAACCAATCATTAAGGATTATGATATGTTTTGATTTTAAGTAGTCTTTTCTATTTCCGTAATGTAATAATCATTAAGAATTATGATAGGTTAACAATTAAAAGTCAACAATTTTTTTACAATGAACGTGTAAAAAATATATTAATCCATTTTAAATATTTTTTAAAAAACTATTTCAAATACACCAATCAAAAGCTGTCACCTGACAATTGTCAAAATATTGTCATGGCAAAGTTGGTGAAGAAACGTTTTCTAATTATTTAATGTATCCAAACGACCTTTTTTTTTAGTTGTGAAATCCTTAAACTGTGTATGAGTTCTCAAGATGTTAAAATAGGGATTGCCACAACAACTTGGTAGAATGCTTAGTTTTGAGAACATACAAGAACCTAAAAATGGTGAAGTGGTCAAATTCATGTTACCAAGATCCTATAACTCTTGATAGAAGGAAGAAACAAAGACCACAAGTTGGGAACATATAAGGTACAACCACCAATGTCTGCAGTTACATTCGAAAAAAAAATGCAATTGCACAGTTCCCATTCATGATCAAATCAGAATAGAAAACAAGAAATAATTTGGCACTCCAACCTTATGTTAAAAAAATCTTAATTTGGTTTGGTGAGTGTTCTTTTTCAACTCTTCTTTTTCATAATTATTATTTTGAATTGGGCCTCTATTCCTACAATTAGTGTTTGGGCTGCTTTCGATTTGGTTCTTGGGCCATCTGCGATCCAATCTCTGGAAATTCTTATGTGATCAATTAGTGTGCACCAATTGATGTGATATTCTTAAATGTGAAGCGGCAAAAAGAAAAATTATAGAAGAGATGAAGTAATCACCATACGTGACTTATTCAAATTTATAGTAGGTCAGTTGCTTAAATTTGTAACCGTTAATAAAATATATGTTTAGAGTATTTAAAGAAAAAAATTATGCTTCATGACAGTGGGTTCTGACTTGAGAAAAAAAATATCACAATAATTTTTAATTTAAAAATTTCAATTACAAAGTGGTCTTGAGTGTGAATATGTAACTGATAATACATATGATATTCTCTTTAACTTATTTTAGTATAAGAAAAGCTACTGAAAGTGTATACTGTAAAATGATGACCAGAATTATTCTAAGTTTGATTATGAAAAGTCATTATAACAAAAAGAGCAAGAGTTTATAACACTTTGGTCATGTCGTTTTCATTAACATATGCACTTTTTGTATAACTTTATATAAGATTTAACGAAATTGAAAAAGTCAATTAATTATACCCCACCAGAAGGGAAAAATGTTAGCTATAATCGAGTGACAGTCAATTGTAGTAATTGAAAGACAATGAGTTGTAGCTAACAAAAGGGTTCGTGTCGATCTTGCATTAAAATCTATGTTTTTTCTTTTCATAAAATTAATAACTAAATTTACCCACAGGAATATGCTGAGAAAACATAATCATATTTAACAAAAGTATATGAATAAACACAAACACATGTTTTCCTTCTTTGTACATAAGTGGGATCAATATTAATCACATGAAAGATGATTACACATCACCATCATCATCATCATCATCTTCTTCTTCTTCTTCTTAATGATGCTACTGCTACTATTCATCAACATCATCATCATCTTCTTCTAAATGCTGTTCTGCTGAGTTAATTAAGCCCTGAAATGAAATTAACTCCACTGGAGGGAATCCACGAGTTTCCAGCAATAAAATTAGCAACACTGAATTTGGCAGCATCCTCAGCCTTAAGAACATGAAAACCCTGCCACTGCACCCTCCCTGCGGTTCCGGCACCACCTCCTTCATTGCCATACTCCGCGAAATACAAACTCTTCAACACGGAGCTTCCGTACCCAGGCCACGCCACCCACCCTTTCGCCGCAATCACATCGTCGATTGTACTCTGCATCACCACCGATCTCGAATACTCCTTCCAGGGCCTCCCCAGAAACGAACTGCGCGACTGCGTAAAGTCCGAGGTCGGCAATATGCTGCACTTGTGAACGGAGAACCCGGTGTTCTGGCCGGGGTCAGTTCGGCCGTTGGCCAGAATGGCGTTGTAGCTGGAGCCGCGAGGGCGGCGGAGGAGGAGGTTGCAGCGCTGGAAGACGGCGGCGGCGTTGCCGAAGATGAAGTCGATCGTGCCGTAAATGTCGCATTCTGCGTAGAACTGGCGGAGGGCGAGGGCGTAGAGGGTGTCTTGGTACCCTGATATGCTGCACCGGTAGAGGACGGCATGGTCGGAGGCTATGCTCAGAGCCACCGCTTGTTCGCCTCCTGGGCCAGCGTTGTTCTGGAATCCGATGTCGCGTGCCATAAAGCCATCGCCGGTGATTGCTGCGATTCATAATCATTCATTATTTGAGTCTTCTTTTTAATCTGTGTACTTATACTTAGGTTTGTAATCTTTGGGATAATCTTAAGCATAAATGAAGACAGGGTTAAAGGAATTGTTATTGTTACATCGTATTAATCCAAACATCATTGGAAATCCAAGCAGTAAATTCTAATGCACTTTTTCTCTATTATTAAATGTTCATGACTTAACTGTAGAGCATAAAGTTTACTATTGATGAAGGTTTTGGCATCTTAGTAATGAATGCAGAACAATGAAACGGATGCTTCGTCTATTTCCTAGGCCCCTATGTTCTAACTAATCATTCTATAATCACTCTTACACTTTTTTATGCAGAATTTGAACACTTTATGTAAAGCCAACGTCAACCAGCACTTTAAGATTCTTGTGAAGAATTTGAACAAATAAATTTAATACTTATAATTTTAAGGTGGTTGAACTTTACATGTATAATATATTTGTAGATTTTTTATTTTTACCTTGAGTTTATGAAAGTATTGTGTGTATATAAGTTCTATATGATGTTTTAATCATTTATAGTAAATAAGAGCAAACTTAAACTAAAGCTTTGTATCAAAATTACTTGCCTACGTTACACATTACACAGAGAAACACACTACGAGGTTATCAGTTGTCTAGAGCAATAAGCACTACTAAATCAATCATATATTTGTATCAAATTGTATATTGTTATATCAAATTAGCTGTTAATTAAAGCTAACAACATCTCAGAAGAAGGCAAAATTATTAAAATGATGATATAGATATACTACAATATATATTAGTCATTTATTTGTACCAAAGATTTTTTTTTCTATTGCTAAGTTTCACATGATCTTACAAATTACAAAACTTATTAAAGCAATAATGCAAAAACACTCCTCCATTATTAACACACACTCATTATTTTTCGTAGTCTATAATATTATAGTTTTTCTCTTATATTTCTTTATTATTGTTTAGGTGTCCCCACCAGTTTCTAAATTATTATATGCCCAACACAGCCCAAATTCAATTTTTAAGGAAAGTTTACTGTTATAAATCTAGTAGGAAGTAATTGGTAATGTATCTTGGTATGAAAAAAATGAGAGTTAGAGAGAGGGGATGGATAAAGAGAACTCACTAAACGTGGCTGAGTCGGTTAAGGAAGAACCCTCGGCAACATTGTCATCTCCAACAATAAGAGTAGAGGATTTTCCATCTCCAATTAAGGTGATTCCATCCTTGCTGGTGCGAATCTTCTCTTTGTAAACCCCTTCCTTCACATAAATCACAAACCTGTTCCCTGAAGCTGCCTTAATGGCTTCAGAAACTGTCTTGTAATCTCCTGAACCATCTTGTGCAACTATGGCATTTGCTTTTATGGTGCCTCCTTGAAGCAGCTTACGTCCTTTGGCTGATACCCACTTGGGAAATTCATGTTCCTCTTTGTTAGTTTCATCTTTCTGGCTACCTTTTTTGCTCACATGGTTAACAAGTGCTAATGAGTTGCTTCCCAGTTGAGAAAGATAGTGCATTTTGTCTGACATTCTTTGCATAAGGCCTCCTGGAGAGATTGTGGTGTGTGCATCTGCATAGTCTTTACAAGTTTGTTGGAAAGTTATGGAAGCACTTAGCCATGTTTGAATGTCATTGTTGTTTCTTGTAGGGTATTTCAGTGCTCTCAGGGATTGATCTAACCTTTTCAATGACATGCCGATAAGCTCTTCACAGTAATCTGTGTGTATGATCACAACGAAGAATTAAAAGGCATAACACAATCAATTTCCATTTATCAGTATTCGCATGAATGTGTTTGTTTTGTTCCATTTGGGTTGAGTGTATTGTCAAATAGAATAATTCGTGAATAATGCATGCAATGGAGAATTTTCAGAATCATTTGTGTTCATGAACATTGTCTTAAATGCTCACAATTGTGGTCACAGCTTTTCATATCACCACAACCACATATATATGTGACGGTATATCGATCAGACATTTTTCATACTATAAACAATTACGAAAAACGTTAACCACAATTCTGATTTATGTCCATGATTACCATATCAAACGTGAATGACGACAAAATTAATGAGTTTAATCAAATACAATTTTCTCGTTACCATAGATTTCAAAGATGCACGTACGACATTAAATTGATCTGAAATTCGTAAAAACTGTTTTCTCAGATGAAAATACATAAAAAGATATCAGTTACCTGCGACGACAGAATGGGCTCCATCTTCATCATCAGTCTTGTATTCAGCAAAATATGAACTTGGCAAGTTAGTTTCTAAAATGGTTTTGTTGACAAGAGCCAAAATGTTATGATGAACACTTTGATTAGATGAACCAAATTGCATCAAGGTTTGAGCACATAGATCGGGATATCTAGTAAGACTGCACTGATTCTGAGCATCAGAAGTGGTGATCCACGACAGTGCACTGCCTAATACTGAAAGGGTTACCACAAATTGCTGTGTTCTCACTCTCAGATGAAGAAAAGGACAACAATGGCTAATTTTATCCATAACACTGATTAAGGAATGCCCCTTATTTGATATATTTGAGAGGAAGAAGTTATCTATTTATAGTGAGAGGATGGAAGTGTAGAACTGTAGTAGCTTCTCATAATTTTACATTAAATAAATAAATAAAATTTGACTTTGAATTCTGTAAAAGATAACAAATAACTTATACTATAATGATTTAATTCTTTTTATACTTAATATAGTATAATAATTTAATTGAAATATATTGTAAATGTTTTGTAGACATGCAACAATCATATAATTAAGGATTGTTAAATTTTATGATAATTATATATAGAATGAATTTTAATTAATATAAATGTTTATGTTGATATTGCATTAAAATTAATCTTGTTATACATTTTCATGGTTTTTTTCAATAGGATTTATAATGTTAAAGGGGATGGCATGGTTTTGGTTTGGATGTCTATTAGGGTTGTCAATTATGGTGGACTAATGGACCTAAACAATTAAGGTTGGTCTAATGCAGCCTGTAATTAATTATTTAAGAAGTATTAGAAATAATTTATTTAAAGATGTGAAAATGATGGTTCTTTTTGGAACACGGTTTTAAAAATGTTGATAAAAATCAATAAATAATTATTTCTTTAAAAATATTATTTATCCAATCATTCAAACTAAATTATTAAAAGTGTTACTTTAATTTATATTTCATTCATTTTGTAATTGCAGCTTGAAAAGTATTAAATATTTATTGACTAAAATTAAAAAAATAATTTAAATTAATTTATATAAAAATCAAGCAACCTAATTCAGTCAACAAAATAAAGTGTGAGTTATCTTAAACTATTTTAAAATATTATCAATTTTTATATATAAAAAACATCAAAAACTCACATTAGTACTTAAACTAGGTAAATATAAAACGAGCTTTACTAAAATTTATAATAAAAACATAAACATCCATATATGCAAAATTAATTTTTTAAAAATATTTTTTTTTTTTAAATTTCTCGATCAATTAATTACATAGATGTTTATTAACAAATTCTACAATAAAGTTTTGTACATATATGGCTACTTCGTTATGAAAATATAAAGCAATAACATCGTATTCACGTCTTATTTATTTATATTTGGAGAATTAGGTATCACTGACAATCAATGAAAGATAAATTTTTAATATTAAAAAGTGTATGGTAATAAATAATAAATAATAAATAGAGAGAAAGTATAACAATAATTTTCTGAACAAAAAATTTACAATAGTAAAGTAATTGTGTGTGTTATACATTTTTCTAATAAATTTTGAAATGTACAAATAAACAAATTGTTCTTGAAATAATTGAAATTAAAAGAAAAGTATATATAACTTATAATTGAATATATAATATAAAATTTATATTTGAATTCTGATTATTAATGAAAGAAAAAGCTCACTATCTCAGTTGATAAACATCCCATACTCATAATACAATGCGAATTGCTTTTTATCTATAAAATAAGCCATTTAAAAGCTTTATAGGCAAGAAAATGACACATCTTTATGTTGTCCATTCCATTGCTTTCTTTCTGCTATTTTTAATAGCTAAGGGACCCTCATTATCCACTTTTCACCAATCTAAATAGATAACTGTATAGCTGTCGGTGTATCTTTCACACTTTCCTCACGCTGCTATACGTACCGCCAGTACTGTATGGAGCAAACAAGGGAAACGATAATACTACAATTTCACTTTTAGGATAATGTTTTTTTTAACATAGCAATTTAATCACAGAGAAAAAGAAGAGGAAAATTGTTACATTCCACAAAAATACACTTCAAAACTATATAATAAAATAATCACATTTAATAATATTATAGCTCAATCTTACATTAATAAAAAAATATGCTTATGGTCGAACGACCTTACAGAAATAACTAAAAACTTAAATTATACAAGATAAGCAATTCTGACCGAACAGTTTACAAAAGTCCACACCAGACGGTCATACAAAAGAACAGGGAAAAGGTGATTGAACGATCACCTTACTATCAAACTATACTAGTGACCGAACGGTTTTATTGTTCGGTCTTAACTTCTACCTCGACTAAGTTTTCTTCTTCCCGCGCTTCTTCCAGCAGCTCGTCTCCTTCTACTCACATCCACATGGATGATCATTGCAACAGAAAGATAATTGAACGTACAAAACAGACAAGACAAAAAGACATAGGGTAAGCTTTTGTAATTCAATTCATGTATAAATATATATTTCACACAATCAACCAAACAAGATAATTCATCACTCGTTCATGCAAAGCCTAATACTAGATTAACTGTCCGGGCTGTATGAATTCTGTGTAGCTACGACGTTCGTGCATCCGGGTGATGTAGTAACTGGGATACCCTCAACAGCTACCACCCGATGTTAGTCTTATCTGTCCAAATTAACCATAAGGACTAGGACCTCCTGCCGTTTTCACACATGACTTACCCTCTCTACGTAAGGACGAGTAATCACAGAACATCAAGATGAACAGCCAGTTTAGCATGCCCACCTTCATACTTTACAATAATAGAATAACATAGCAATTTAATCACAGAGAAAAAGAAGAGGGAAATGCGATCAGGTTTGTGGGGTTTCTATGCTTCAAAATTCATTATATATAGTAACAAATACAAATATTCAATGTTATTATTTCATAAAAAGAAACACCACATTCCAACATAAAATAGTTCTAAAGTAATACATAGATAGATAGAGGAACCGAGTACCATGAAAGACTACCATACCTAGTTTTATGGTGGAAGTAATTCACTGCAATGTTTGGATATTGGCTGTCATTAAATAGTTTCATATGTGTGCTTAGTTTAATAATTTTATATTCTTATAATCCTAAACTTTAATCTCTTTGGATTTGTAGATAGTATTCAATTTTACCCATGCAATTTTCTACGTTCACTTCCCTATCCCTGAATAACTCCTTTTTGAATTTTTTTTAACTTACATCACATCTTGGTTTGAAATTTTCGAAAAAAGAAATAGAAAAAGGAGGGCAGCGAGTATGGATATAATCTCTTGTTGATTTAATAAATAAATAAATAATGTCAGAATTAAATAAGAGTATGAAGATGATAGGGCATACGATTATTTAAAGGATGAAAAAAACTTGTTTGTACTTAAAAATTTTACACCAATTAAAACTTGTGAATGCATAATCAATTCTTGTATTTTGTTTAAAATGACTAAAATATCCGGCATATATTTGGGTAAGAGTTGTTTCTACTGCTATGTATATTTTGAATAACTGTCCAACAAAAAGTGTTTATGATAAAACATCAGAATAAGCTTGGAGTGGAAGGAGACCCTCAATTCGATACCTCACACTTTTTGGATGTATAACATATCTTCATCTATCAACTAAGACAAAAGCTTGATGACAATCCATGACAAAGAAAGTAGTTATTTGCAAAGACATGACATTTAGTGAAGAAAGAATTGATAAAACTATGCAATTTAAAATATTTTGTTAGCTATAAAACTTTATATATTTTTAATAGGTAAAATAAAGAAGTAAAATGTCACGATAAAATAACAATGACATCATTTAATTTAAAGAAAATTAAATAATACAAATTCAATTAAAGGGTATAAAATTTTTAAATATCTAATAAATACAATTTAATAAAATCTCAATTAAAAATAAATAAATTTATAAATGACTTGAAATAATAATTCATAATAATCTAATTATTTCCGACCATTAACTAGGTTTGCGGTTCGTTAATGCAATCCATGTTTTCTTTTTATTGTATGTGGGTCTGTTTTGTCTTGTAGGTTACGAAGTACCTATTATGCAATATTAAAATTGGAGTACCTATTATGCAATATTCTTTTTAATGATAACTGTTTCGTTAACTGCAATTACTTATAATTGTTGAATACTAAAGTGATAAAGGCATCACATCACATCAGTTTTTCTGTACACTTGAAAATTTTGTCAATTTGATTAATTAAAGAAATGTTTTTGCTTACAAACGTGAGAACGAGGCTAACTTTTCTTACGTGGCCAAATAATGTAGATTTTCAAAGACAAAAAACAATCTCATTAAATTTAAGATAATGAAGTTGTGAATTTTTTATACTAAAGGATAATATATTCATATTACATCTAAAATTCAGACAATTTTTATAGTATATTCTTATATTATATATACTAATTTTTATGATTTCAATAAAAAATATATATTAGCAAAAAGTTAAGAAAAAAAATCCATAATTTGACGTGGGTTTTTTCTATTAATAGACATTAATTAACATGGTATAAATGTAACATTAATTGATGTATGTTAAAACACAACAAATATTACCCAAAAGATGTTAAAAGCCTTTTTATGTTAGTGTTTTCCAAAAACCAAACTAACATTTTGATATTAATTATAACATATGGTATAACTCAATTATTACTATTAGTAATCAAAAACCAAAGTTTCATTACTAATCCATGGTCTATCAAATCTCAATGTCAACCAAAAATCAATATAATCCAAGTAAGAAATTAAATTTGGTTTAACTCTTGAAAGTTGTTTGTTTTTCAAGTAACAATAATCCAAAATAGAGAAAAGGATTGAAAAAAAATTCCTGAAAACTCTAAACCATCCACCATCAATTAAACCAATGGAGTACTTATCAAGAATGAGATGAAACAATAAAAAGAATCTCAAGCATTTTAACATATGAAACCGTATCATCTTCATAGATCAACCCAAAGAGAAAAAAAAAATTAGAATAAAGTAGACAGTTACAATAAAACAAATAATGATTGAATTTAATTGATTTATTCAAGACCATCTAATAGTAGAATATATGTTAAATAAAAGGATAAAAATTAATTGTCAGCTTACTGAGATATGTATGCATAGTAAAGTTTAGTATGGATTTACAAGAGAATAGAAAAAGTTTTAGAAAATTAGAAAAAAAATGTTTGTGTGCATGTAGTAATTAAGAAGTGTATACAAAGTTATACAGACATACATGTGCTAGAAAACCATAGTAATGATAAGTA